GTTCTGAAGCTTTTGATCATATCTCTCTCCAACAAGGCCAGCAGTGCATTAACTGGTTCCTCAAATATTCACATTTCCCAACTTTGCTGTGTTCATGAGCTTCAACATGGATGCTATTGTCCAAGGAATAAGGTATTTCAGAGTTGTGGGTTAGACTTGTTGGGGCATTCTCATGAGGACATCGTTTTCCTGATTTTTCCATCGCCACATGACTGCAGGACATATGTCTTATCTTGCAATGTTATCAACAGTAAAAGATGTGCACCAGTGGTTCGGAGCTGCTCCAAAATGTAATGGGATATTCCTTGGCCCATGTTACATCCTTCCTCCAAGTTTCATGAGAATCGAGCCAGTAGTTTTTCCATTATCCTGCTGACAGACAAACAGACAAACTGCCATAAACATAACCACCTTAGAGGATGTAATAAAAGTAATCCTAACATGAACAGAGGCAGTAATGCAGGGCACAGTATACTGTAGGTGTACGCCTGATAGATTGCTTTTATTATCAGTGCATTATGTTTGTTCTGATTCATTACAGAAAACTCCTCACGCTGTATACTACTTTGACATTTCCAAATTCCTCTCAGAAGTATTTGTCTTGGTATTAAAATAAATAAGTGTACTTTTGATGAGAGAACACTTGCTAAGCTTGAGGAGCCGCTGGTTTTGTTGCTAAGCAGCTTGATCCATTTATATTACAGTACAGAAGGTTTTTTTACTAATACTGTGGGCTTGTAGCTTCCTCAGAGATGATTTCCTCCTCTTTTTCTCCCAGCTCAGTGGTGTTTGATTAGTGAGTGCCATATGTCTGGGTGGGTGTACACATCCTGTTTACCCAGTTTCTAGGGTTTATTTTAACCATGACCTCTGTGTGATTTTCCCCGGGGTCAGAGGGTCAAGCTCCGAGGTCGGCTCCACATGGATGAGGATGGACAGCTGAGCACCTTAGAGTGCATGTGTGTGTTCCTGCAGAGTGTGTGTGTGTGTAGAGCCTGAAAAATATATCAACGGTTCTCTTCACAGCCTCACAGCTGCATAAATATCCATCAGGTAATGTTTCAAACAGAAAGCCATTCTTCTCTTTAAACTGTGCAGGGAATAAACAAAAAGAGACAAAAGACAACAAGGTCCCTGTTGACCATGCAAACAGCCCTGGGTCTTACAGAGGAGGAGACTGGGAAGCAGAGCTCTAATGTTTATGCCCTGACCTGAATTCAAAATGCATCATCAGTGTGTTCGCTTCATTACTCTCTTGTGCAGATGGGGCTTTTATCAGAGCAAAGAGCTTGTTTGTTGTCCTTATTTAAAATGATAAAAGCATATATTCAAAGAAGGGACAAGCATGCATGAAAGCAAAATATGGAAAGGGAAGGTTTTGAAGAAAACAACATCCACAAAGTAGGGAAAATGTTTTGCCTAAAAATGTATCCCTATAATAGCGTGAGCCTAAATCTGTCTTAAACACCAAAGAAACTAAAACTGTTTGATGACTACAATGCGAAAAGTTATAATATATAGAATACATTTCTGAAAGTAATAGCCTAGACTTTTGGGGTTATTAAGTACATTTAGCAAGATTGACACTTGGTTTAAATGAAGCTAGCATACCATGTTAGCATGTTTTTTATACTATTTAAAACAATTCAAATTAGATATTACTAATATTATTTGATAATTATTACCATAATTGATGACCTTTAAAGAAACTGCAGGGTTGGTTTTGTCACTTTTGGACAAACCCAGGCTAGCTGTTTTAATTTGTTGTGATTCTTTGTGCTAAGCTAAGCTAACCCACTCCTGGCTAGCCTCATATTTAGCACACATGAGATGAGAGTGGTCTCCATCTTCTTATCTAAAAAGGTTATAAAAGCTTTTTTTTTTTTTTAAATGTAACACCCTCAAGTGATTTTTATTGATTTAGCAAAGGGTAACTATCATACGGTAATCTGTCCCTGCAATCTGTGTTTTGCATGTTCACGGCGAAAACATCTTTTCATTTTCTTTCACTTTTTCTAATTCTTTGAAAAAAAGCACCTTGTTTTTCTTTCAGTGGTTTTGAACTAACTTATGAGAGGTAGCCTAATGCACATAGCTTATGCAGCCCTCACACACAAACAGCTAACTACACACACATGCCATGAACTTTCATTATTACAAGAGGGTATACTACACCCCTTCATGCGGTGTGACATCCTGGAATATTTTCCGTTATGCTTGTGTGTGTGCATGTGTGTATTTTTAAGTGAAGGGAGGATACAGCTGAGTGTGTCTTATCTTACATCACACAACGACGTGTGAAACCCCAACTCTGCGGAACTCCTCTCAATCCCAGAGCCACAGGGTTTCAGTTTGCGGTAGCAGCTGAGCCCTCTCTGTTCTCCTCTGTCTCAAAGCAGTTACATCCACAGACGGCAAGCTTGCAGAATGCTGCAGATAAATGTGGAGGCTGAGACTGGTGAAGTCAGAAATAGGCAGGGACTTCTCAGAAAAAGGCTTCTGATAGTTGCAGTATGACTAGAAGCCATGAGAATGTATCAACTGCACTTCATGCTCACGTTACATCCAGTAAAATGTAAAGCTGTGAACAGCAAACCGTCAAAAAGACATAATCAGTGTAAGAGCACATTAGAAGCACCTGCTGTATGCATTGTAAACATGTGGGCTCAGTCTCACTTGTGGTTTGTTGTGCTTGAGTCTCACCTAACTGACAAGTGAAGGAGAAACCCGTATAAAAAGTTAGTTTCTTTATCCCTTTTCCAATATTCTCTTTTCAGTTTACCGTTTTATTCTTGAAGAGAAAAAGAAAGAAACATCCACACACAAAAAAAAGGGCTCAATAACGACCAAAACACTATTCTGCATCAGAATAATAAAAAAAAAACTTTTGACTGATAAAATGCAAATCCCGATCTGTTTGTCTTCTTAGAATATTTACATTTAAGCTTTACATTTCATCCAATTGAGATATGCTTGGGTGTAGCTCAATGCCAGAAAAGCTTTCAATGTGATAATTAACAGCGGGGACTGTGGGCTGAAGCCTTTACCAAACATTACACCAGGCTGAATAACAAAGTGACAGGTGTTAACCTGAAACTGTTTGCGTTTACCTTACTCGGTTGGAAGCTGATAAAAGCAGGCAGCTAACATCTCCATATTTAGCCTGCCCCTTTATCTATCCTGTGGTTTCAGGGAAATGCATGACCATTGGTGGGCTAATCAATGAGCTCTCATCGATACCCGCTTTCATCCTGCTTCTCTTATCAAACTTTGCTGGCCCCGCGTTCACCACAGGCCACGGACAGAGAGGAGGCGTGTTTACTTATGTGCAGAAGGCCACTGTGTAGGAGGTTTCCATTACCAGAATCATCTGCAGAAAGAGGAAGGGAGGTCAGGCATGAGAAAAGGCCAAGGGACACATGTCTAGTCCTTGGCTTCTATCACAATGGAGGTATAAACAACACGAGGCATCTGGCCTGTTACATTATCAACTAAATCCCTGAGTCTGAATAAATTAGATAAGTTCTGCCTTGTTTAAAGACACTTAAAATGTCAGCCTATGACTATGAAGTGCAGAAACAGTTCTCTGTCTTCCTGCTATGTTGCAGCTCCTAGCAGCGCCCTGCCTCAGCCATGCCTTGACACTAGCTCTTCTCTTTCATGTTCAATCCTCTTTCAGCCGTTTCTTGATGCTCCGAGTCAAGCTCTGTTCTCAGCCTCGCTGGTCGCAAAAAAAAGAGGGGAGCTATAAGTGCTGCTTCAAAACACCTTTTGCTGTAAGTACATGTGTCAGGAAGCAGGGCTTCACATGAGGCACGGCTCTTTCTCCTTCTCCCAGCTGTCACTCCACTTCCATATTCTGTCTCATCTCGAGCCGGGCTGCACTCACAGATGTGGAGAACATTTCTGTTGGCTCTCACTGAACTGCCCCCACCCTCCACCTTTTTCCACCCACACATACACACACAAACAACTAGTTTCCCGGTTCTTTTCAGTAACATTTTGCAGGTTAACCAAAAGTCTAAACTGCTGTTTTGGTTGAAAGCTGCACCTGGATATCAGTATTTGTGCAGGTGTATAAAACGGTGCAGGGATGATTTTTGTAGGCTGACCCGGAAGTTAGCATCCCAAGGATACCCTCGACAAAAAGCCTTTGGGATTTTTCATGGGATTTCGGAATATTGCACAAAAAAGCTCCGTGGCCAACACACGTTTATGATAATTGCCAGTTTTGTTTAATCCAGGATAATCTCCACATAATAACACCACTTTTGTGTAAATGCCTATCGCCAGAACTAAAAAGAGAACCTATAGGCTATAAACAAGCTACATCACGGTTGCATGGCTTCACTTCACAACCACAAAGCTCAAGGTGGACCCATGTTCAGCGTGATGACGTTAAGATGTCTCATATAGTCACTTAAAGCAACCACCTTTTCTATGACACATAGAAGCTTCAGAGCTTCCTGAGTGGGGTATTCACTGACATATTCTTTGCCGTATAATAAAACTATGAAGTCCCAAAGCTGGTTTTAACCTTGGAACTTATTTCAGGCATCTGACCAGATATTAACATTAACTGGCGAACCGGACAGGCTAACATGCTAACTCATTTCCAGGTTTAAGGATTCATTCCTGCACCACTCTGTAGTGTAGAAAATATATATTTGATTTCTATTCAACAATGATAGAGATCTTTGACTTTCAGGTGTCCTTTGGCTCTGTCTTACAGCTCCCAGACCCCTTGGGCCCCTAGGCCTCCACGAGCAGGCCCACAATAATCCATTCATAAGCCCTGACCACCCCTCAGCCATCTGTGTTGGTTGAGATCTATCATCAATTACATATTTCATCAATACATTTCCAAGCTTCTCTACATTTTCATATGCCACTCATGTTACCTTATGAAACACATTCCCACATGAAATATTAGACTGAGTAGCAGCTTTCACTCAATGTTATTGAATGGGCTAGTAATGAACACTCATGGAGACAAACTGACGTACTCATTTTGTTTTTTATTTATTTATTACCTAAAAAAAGAAAATGTTCTATCACAAGTCACACTGAAATGTATTGCTTAAGAAAAAAAAATATATTCATATATTTTTTCATTTTTTACATTTTTTCATTTTTTATCTTTTTTTTTTCTTTTTTCCAGAAACACGTTTTGTTTCCATTATATTCCACCAAAAAAACAAAAGTTTTTTTTGGACACAAGCATCAGCTGCTGCTATGTCCCGACAACCTTCTCCCCAGCTTTTTTTAAAAATGCACAAAGAAATACATAATTCACAGTTACCATTTTGGTTTCATAAATTAATACAGTCACACATGTGCTACACCGGTCTAGAGCTAGAACATTGTAAATTGTATTCTTGGATCCTGTTATTTTCAATAGTTGGCTACAAGAAAGAACAGGCAACTCAAATGACGTGATCAGAATTCCACCAACATACTGTTTTTTATCCTCTCTGTATGCTTTTTTGTTTTGTTTCATCTTTTTGAGTTTCACACAGAAGTGAGGCACACACAGACTATATTTCATACATATGCAAAACAAACTTAAATAAAATTTGGGAGGGGCAAGGGATAAATTGTCCTTTTAATAATGTTGTATCCTAGGAAACAGGAAGTGCATGTAGTCTGGAGTCCTCAGAGGACTTTTCTTATTCAGGGTTGTTTCCTGCCATCTAAGTACTGTGGTGTAAACTTCCTCAGTTAACAAAAGTTAAACAGATTTGTAGCCTTTTGCAGCTTGTTGATGAGAGGACTGAGTATAGAGGGATGTGAGGTTAGGACAACGGAGACCAACAAGCATGGCAACACAATGAGGAAATGGGATGAAGGCCATGTTTGAGGAACAACACCAACTTTTGAATCGTTTTTGTTTCACTCAAACAAGCTTTACCCCTTAAATCTACAACTCTCATGGCTGTGAATACTACAGTCCTGTGTACCAACCAATGAAAACAAGCTTAAATCTGACACTGACACAGCAAGGGCAACATTTTAAGGCACAGAAGCCTTGACATAATAGAGACTCCACCAGCTAAAAGCACTAAACAACAGATGCCCAGTGTCCTCAGTGACAAAAATGGCGCCTTGATGACAACAAGTCCGACAATGATGCACACAGAAAGTTTAAAAACCAAAAAGAAAAAACATTCCCGCCCCCATTGTCCCCAAGTGTCTCATTTTTTTAGTGAAAGGTAAGGCCACTTAAAAAAAAAGTTGAGGTTCACCAAAAAGGTAATCTCTCACTGCAATCTGTGGGAGTGCAATTGTGGTAGGGTGGTCCATCGATCAGACAGACAGACAAAGAGACAGACCGGATGTTTCTCTGGGGTTTTGACGGACAGTACTGAGAATCCGCTGGTCTGTTAGTTCCCTGCCAGAGAACGTCCACACGAGCCTCGGTTGGCGTTCAGTTTGGGAGGAGGGGGGGGAGGTGGCTAGAAAGTTTGTCTGGGTCCTTGAGAGTCATGGGGGGTAAAACCAGCGCTCAGGGAGTGGGGAAAGAGTCAGCTGCTCTTTGCTCATGAAAATCATCTTCATTGTCTCACAACAGGAATGTTCAGTGCTGAGCAAGATGCGAGTCCACACTTAACTTCATCTGTTTTGGTTTTGCGTTTGTAATACTTAAGCAGGACACTGTTGCTCTAACATTGAAAAATTGAAAATTACAAAAACCTAACCAACAAAAGCAGCATTGTTTATTTTTCTTCACAATTTCATGCATGTTGTTAACCTTCATTCCCACAGCACCAGTATTTTTTTTCTTCCATCAATAGAAAAAAGATCACACTGCATGCAAATAAAAGTCACTTTTTCCTTTTTTTCATCTGAAGTCCTAATGTGTAGCAGCAGAATTGTGAAAGGCCTAACCTGATATGTTAACAGATGAACTGGTGGAGGCACTAGATCATGATGCTGGATACAGAGCCCACTTCTTTTCCCTCTTTTGCCAATGAAAAGATATTATGAGGACTTGCGGTACAGCAACAGAATTTGATGTTTCGGGATTTAAATTAGTGACCAATGCATTCACCGCAGCTGATCTTTGATTTTGAGAAACTATGGGGAGGACAACTTGGACAAAAACATAGGGTATTCTAAATCAATTTACACTAAAGTCACACGTACACACACACCCTCATAAACCTTTGCCAATTGTCACATTTATGTACACAAACAGTTACAAACCATCAACAAGTCCATTCAGGTCTGTAAGACACAAAGTGGGCTGGATGAAATGTATCTTTCAGTATAATTTGTTCTAAGTAGACGACTATAATTTGTGAATGAGCTAATGAATGATTAAATTAATGTATTTGTTGGCAATTCAACAACTTGACTAAAGCCACAAAGGGCTGCTGTTTTTTGAAAACAGCAGATAGGAGAAATAAAAAATAGATTTTTTTCCATATACATTTTAAAGATTTTTAAATCCTCTAAAGCACTTTCTGTTAATATTAATTTATTTAGTTTACTCATTAATCATTCCTATCGATACCCTATGTCACTGAGGTTGATATCAATACTTCCATATTCATTTCTTTTATCGATTTCAGGCCCCACCTCCTCCTCCTTGCACACTTTGACCAGCTGTTATAAATCAAGAAAATGTGCAAATCAACAACTACTTTGAACTGTTATATGAAAACCTGAATGCTTTGTGAACAATGCTACATATTTTTTGTTTATAAAATATAATAATATGTTTCAAAATGAAAAAAAAAGAAGGTTTAACCACCCCATAACAGGTAAAAAGTAGACTCTGGTTGGTGAGTTTTGAGATCAATAAGAATGCCCGTTGGAACAGTCCATAGTTTGGCAGTTCTGCCATGGAGGAAACACTGAGGCCTCCGGTGCTCCTGTTAGTTAGTCCAGTGTGGATCTCTTCATTGCTGTCCAGAGTGCGCTTCAAAAACAAAACGTAGAAACAAAAATCAGAAAAATACCCCCACCTAAAACCACCACCACCACCACCACCCACTGAATTCTGCTATGCTCAAGTACAGATATGGTCTGTAATCACACCTTAAAAAGTCTTGTACACTGTTAAGTCCGGTAGTTGCCTGTCCAAATCCACGAATCAAAAGAAAGTTCTCTTGTGGTCAACTGTGAAGGACCGGATGGGATTAAAGTACGCAGGGAGCTTTGTATTTCATCTGACGCCAGCTTTCCGCACAGTTCTGTGGCACCTCCTGCCAATCCAATCCATCAAAATATATCTCTAAGTAAATCCCAAGCAATGCTTTGCGAATCTTTTCCACAGCGTGTGGGATCAGACGCTTTTCAGGCCATGACGAACTCAGTCTTCAAGTCGGCTTTTACGTCGGGCTTCCACACGGAGTCGTCAAAGTCCAGGTCCATGGAGTCCTCGCTGGAGATGCTGCTGTTGCTGTTGCTGCGTCCCGCCTTCCGGTTGGGCAGCCACTGATACGGCGCGCGCTGGTCCCGCCTGGCCTTCCTGCGCAGGCGCTTCTGCTGCATCAACAGCTGCAGGCGCTCCACCTTGCAGCGAGTTGCGCGATTCTCAGTCTGACGAATACGGTCACCTGGACAAAGGAAGGGGAAAGATTGTCAGTCTAACCCTATTTGCATGTACACTGAGCATAATTAACAAAAAAAAAGGTTTTAAGGGCATTTATATGTGCATCAGTGTGTGTGTTCCTAGCAGGCAGCAGATAAAGCAACACATCCTTGACATTCCCTTGGCTCTGATACACACCATGTGCACAATGTAGAATTTCGTGCCTAACCTCCCCCACTGAGCATCATTAGCCCCCTCAGTGGCATTTCATCCCCTTATCGCTGAGTGGGAAGACCTTCAGACACAGAATCTCCTTGAGAACCAATAGCAGGGCCAAAACATGCAAACACAAGCCGGAGAGGACACATACGAATAGCTGCCTATCATATCTGCGCACATAATTGCAGATGACATGCCTCAGAGGCTGGATGTGCTGCTAAGTGCATTTCTAGCTGTTGATGTGCCTATAGGAGAATCAGGTCTCAAGGGAGACGCCTCGCATTGCACTGTGAATGCTTTCCTACAGTGGCCGAGTCAAGCCTAATTCCATTTATACTTATATTCGGAGGCTCGGAAGGAAGGAGAAGGCAACCACAATCTATTAGCCAGCACCATTAGTATCTGTCTGGGAATTAAATAATTAAATGATGGGCTAGAATGTCAATAAACCGAAGCACAGCGACCATCTCTGCCTCTGCTGCACACCAGAACACACACAAACACACACACTGACACTCAAATCCTCGTTGGAACACATGATGTATTCACACAAAAAAATATACACAATGTGTAGACTCCTGCACGCATACACACACACACACACACAGCTGCACACGCTCACAGGTGCACACGCTCACAGGTGCACGCACGCACAAACACAGCAGCAACAGCCGCAGTAGCTTTTAACGTGGATCGATGGCAAATTAAAAAGACCTATTGATTAAACCTTAGCTCTAGTGCAGCCATCCATCTCGGGCCCAGGACAACGCTATTGGCTTTCAATAGAAAATGCAAGCGAATGGAAATTGTAAGCGGAGAGAGAGACAGGGAGAGATTGGGTTTTTTCTGCTATTTTCTTTTCTTTATTATAGCTGTAGCTTCCCACTCTCAGCTCATTGATGCAACACCCCCCACCCCCGTTCATTCTCTATCTTTACCCCCACTCCTTTCACCCCGCACCCCCCTTTCTCCTCCTCCTCCTCCTCCTCCTCCGCCCTCCCCCAGCTCTTGCCCCATGTCTCCCCAGAGACAGCTAGGTGGGGCAGTGTGAAGAACGGGAAGCAGGAGGCGAGAGGAGAGGGGGGGGGGGTCGGGCCGGCGATGTGGGCTAAGGAATTCCTCCCTCAGGAGCGAGGGGGATAGAAAGGAAAAAAAAGGACGGAGGGAGAGGGTGGAGGGCAAAGGATCAGCCGTAGGTGGCAGTTTTCCGAAATCGATTGTGCCCTCCTCAGCTCTTCCCCCCCATCGGAATGAATTCCGGACTCTGTGTGGGCTTAATTTACCTCTTTCCCTCATTTGCTTATCGGATCGAGCAGGGCAGAGCCTTTTTTTCCAGCAATAAATATTCACCAGTGTCTGGCAGTGCATACTAAAGAACTAAACTGCCATCAAGCAGCCTTGATGCTGCTTTTTGAGAGAAGAGAGGAAGTGAAGAGTGACACCGAGTTGACAGAAAATAATACTTCTTCACATTACACTCACTACACACAGACCGGGTTTTTCCACTTCCTGCCAATGTGTTCTGACCCGATACAAACGTATGTGTGTGCATCCAGATGTCTTGTTCGTTGTATGTGAGGGCAGCCTGTCATCTCTTGAGAACAGGGGGTGTACCAAAAGGGGGGGGTCTCCTACATTAGAGCCATTGTTCCGCTGCCTCAGCTCCATGTGACATCCACACACGCTGCCGCAAGGCTTTGTTCCCCCTCCGGTCCTCCTTCTTCCCCTTCTTCCCCTTCTTCCCCTTATTCCCCTGCTCTCTCCAGCTACAAGCCAAACCGCCCCTCAGCTGTGTCGGAATATGGCAATGCACAATGAAATGGCACAAAGCCAAAACATGCCTACGTACAAAATCTGTTTGTCTGGTACAGTTTGCCTTCACACTGTCTCAGTTTGAATTAGCTCTTTATCTCACCAGGGTAGTCCACTCAATTATGATCTTGCTTTACAAAGAGGTTCATTTACCAGGACAACTCACCATTAAATGAGGCACACACACAAACACACCATAAAGGGAACTTCTTTTTTGAGAATGTGGAGCTACACTAAACTTGGTGTGTTTGTGTGTGTGTGTGTGTGTGTGTGTGTGTGTGTGTGTGTGGTCATTCATCAGCGTCACTTCCAAAGCCCTGGGCGGCTGGGCGGGACACAGCTGGCCACAAGGATCTCCAGACTATGTTTATGACGGTAGGACTATTATTAGGGCTGGCCAAGAAGAACAGACTATACACACACACAAATGCACACACTGGCCCAAAGTGGATGCAGAGACTACATTTTGATGTAAGTGCAATAACCTTGGAGGACCCAGAGAGAGTAAGAGACAGGGAATGAGAGGAGGAAATCCATGTCCGATATACAACCCAGATGTTTTCCAGGAAACACTCGGTGGAAGAAATCAAACGGCAGACAGGTCAAGGGCACAGAGAGGAAGGAAAGAGCAGTCTACCCTTTTCCTCCTCTCCTTTTAACCACTTCCCTTAATGTCAATCACACCAAATCTCCATCCTGAACTCTCCTCTGTGAAGACTTTGACACAGCGCCTGTAAATACACTGATCGCTGCAGAGAAAGCCAAAGAAAAACAGAGAGAGAGAAAGAAGGGGTGATCTATGAATAATCGATGCGTCAGTCAGTTTTCCTTGCCTTTGAGCCCGGCCCAGCAACACAGCAAGGACTGAGATAGGGAGCACAGGGTAGGGGGGGGAGGAGTGGGTGTGTGTAGGAGAAGCAGAGGATGGAGCTAGAGAGCAAGGGAGGAGGGCTGCAGTGTGCAGGACGCACGGGGAGATTAAACGGAGCTTCTCCTTTTATTGATTCTATAAAGATTGGCCTTCATTTGCAGTTGTCTTAGTGTTGTTGTTTGTTTGTTTGATAAGTCTTGTGATCTTGCAGAGAGAACATTGTGTTTGCTCAGCATCCAGGGAACCGGGGGAGAGAGGGAGGCGTGGACAGAGGGGAAGAGGTAGTGAAAGGGAGAGAGGAAGAACAGGACAGCAAATCACAATGCCGCAAAGTCAGCCTTTGTTTCCTCCAATGTTGCCAAGTCTCCATTTGATGGTTTATTGATATGGGCAAAACTAATATTGTAGTCATTATCAGTATTATCTACATATTGGTACGTGACAATATTGACAGTTACATTCACTGGAGAACATCTGTGGTCCAGAGGTGAAGGGGTTTAGTAAGTAGTAGTTCCACGGTGCATGATCTAAATGCACAGTACGAGTTGGGTAAAGACAGAAACTGATGGGTCTAAAACAATCAAATCATGGCGGTTCAATGCAAACAGGTAAACAACTCTATTGCCCCTTTCACACCAACGCGGTTCCCGTTCTAGCTCCGTGCTAGTGCTCTTCTGGTTCGGAATCGGTTTTTCTTTTCAGCCCCCGTTTTGTTCTAACCGCTCAGAGCCCGACTGGTGCTGCCGCGGCTGCGTCATGACGTCACCGTTTACGTCGCCGATTTTCTCCCCAACGGCGTCGAGTCGATGATCGTGTTGCTTTTAATCATACGAAGCCAGATGAAATTAAATAACTACTTCTCAACCCTTATACTTTTCTCCAGAGTGCCGTGGTTCATTGTTTATTAATGTGTTTCAGCGGCATTTACCGACCGCTGCCGTGCTGCCCGCTGTTTGGCATCACAACGCTGTTATTAAAGTTTCTCTGGTATAAAATGGGTGATGTTAGCATAGCAACCGAAGCTAAACTGACTATCTTGACTACTTGTTGCTATCCTATTGTGGCATAAACCGTTTTCTACGCCGGCACATTTTACCGGCGTATTTTTCATTATGATTCTACTTGTGATAGTCGGACATGACAACCTGTGCAGCCGATGTATTGATTCCATCCGATAGTTGCTATAATAAAAAACAAAACGTCTGCCTGCTCTCCACAATGATCAATGACAGCGAACGGATGGTCAAAGTAAGGTACAAATAAACAGAATCAAACTAAGCCTGGTTAGTGTTGCCTGACTTTAACAAGTGTGTGGTTGGGTTCTAGTCACTTTGCTCAGCGCTACTGCTTGTTACAACTTCCATTTGCCGCACTCGCCATTAAACTGTTATTGCTCAGGTTGAGCATTATGAACATTTTGACAGCCAGCGAAAGGGCATTGACAGCCCTGCAGGGACAAAAGCTATTCAATGACTTTTAGACTTCATTTGCATTCCCTCTCTCCCTCTCCTTGGCGACAAGGAAAGGGCACCTGATGTGCTTGGCTGGCTTTGCTAGATAGCTCTGTGCTGCACTGTGTCGCCGGGGTGTTCACGGAGCTACCGGTGCACGTGGGTGTGTCGCGACAAACCCCAGTGTGGAGAACTCGGCCTCAGCCAAGCAGGACAAGGTTTCATATACAGGACTCAATGAGGCCGTAGGATCTTTCCCTGCGTCTCCCTCGTTCTCCCATCTCCCTCCTCCTTCGGCTTTCCCCGTCCCCGCCGGCAGAAGCTAACATGACCTGACAAATCTAAAGAGGACAGCAAGGGATGTGGAAGGGGGTGCCGGAGAAGCTTTCAGAGCTAACTTTGCCCCTGCGTTGCCCCTCTCTGTGTTGAACTAAGGCAGCTGCAGTGGGAGTGGGACTAAAAGCCAGCCCTATAATCCAATAGCCCTCCCCATCTCTGACCCACAATGGCTCAGCCTGGTGCCCTGTATGCAGCCCCTGTCCCTGGCCCCTGCACAATGGGTTTGGCTGGGCAGGGGGCTGAAGGGCCAGAGGGGGGTGCCGGGGAGGTCCACCCTACTCAGTAAAGGAATTTAGCTAACAATCAGCCTGCCAGGCCACGCTAAAGCCCTCCTGTTCAAATCCAACTCGAGACTTGGGCTGACAAATCCCCTAACTCAGCAAAGCCATGAAACCAAGCAAGTAGACTTTAACCAGGAATTTGTCGGCCAGTGTGTGTGTGAGTACGTTCAAGCTTTTTATTTACGCTCGTCTTCTCCCCCTCGCACATGAACTTGCAGCGGAAAGGGTAAAGGCTCTCAGGAGACAGCCTAGCTATGTGACATTTTCGAGAGGCCGTTTCAACCCGAGTCCGACTGCACACACACATTTAGGCATAGGAGAAGCGCGGGTTCTTCCTATAGCTCAATGAAGACAGGTTTCTGTGAAGCAGAGTTAAGCCGCGGTGTTAAGTCCAGTAAGTCCTCCATCAGGTGTCGGCTGATAAGAGCGCTTAGTCATCGGCTTCCTCAGGACACCATGTGGACGGGATAGGCAAGCAGCCTCTGTCCACGCAAACACAACGACACACTCTTTGTCTCAGTGAGCTTAAGTGTGTTTGGTTGAACGGGTTACTCATTCACTTTCTGGAAGTGAACACTGCGGGCAGGAAGTTGGACGTAGGCAGTTAAGTCGGAAAAAGGACATTAGAGAGGCTATTACTTCAGCCATTCTTTCTTTCTTTTTACTGCCCTTGGTTAATCAGTGGGCCGTTGGTAGTCTGATGGACAGGATATAAACACCCATATGATGAATGCAGGCTTAGTGTTGTGGTCTTCCACGTCCTCCTCTCACTGCCCTCAGCCTCACAAAGCAAATTCTTTTCAGAGCTGCATTTCAGAATGAAATCTGTCGATTAAAAGGCCAAATGAACACAGACATTGTATTGATGCACAACACAGACATGGAAAGAGAGGGAGGAAGACACAGAGAGATGGATTTTTCAGACAAGGCTGTTTTTGGACAGCAAATGGGGGAAACAGCGGCGTGGGCTGCTGAGTGGAGACGAAGAGAGATGACATGAGTGGGAGAAGAGGGGAAGAGCGGGGGGGGGGGGCAATATGTAGGTGGGGGCAGTGAAGAAAAGGTTTTCCCTGAGTTTGCAAAATAAGCCTGTGTTATTCCAACTGTTCACTGAACACTTGTAAGGGCACCCAGGGTGACGCACAGGAATACTGGACATTCCCGGTCCATCTGTATTCAGCTGAAACTAAAACACTCCACTGTTTTGCATCTGAAGGTCACGACACCAGGGACAACGCTCGATCATGACAATAGCAATGTATGTGCTTGCTTTAAGAAACAAAAGAAAACATTAAACATTAATCCCTGTACTGCAGGACCCCTCCCTACCAGACGATTCAACAAAATCTACCAACAGCTCACCAAAGGCTAGCTCGATTTCCTCGACAGGAGATAAGGAGGCGGCAGAGGACAATGCTGTTTCTCTCAGCACAGCCAGGCTAACCTTACAACAGTGACTGAATCTTATCAGCTCTGGACATCTGTCTGACACTCCACATCCTGTGTCTCTGCAAGGAAAGGAGGTTTTAAAACACTAAAACCCAGTCCCTAAATGGTATCATCTGCACTACAGCACCTGCCCAGCCCTTGGGCACGGGTATGTCAGGGTGTGTCTGGGTTTGTCTGGCCCCAGCCCGTACATGTCCCAGCGGCAGACCTGCTGTTAAAAAAAGGCAGGTAAAATCACCAAAAGCCTAATCTAAATCTAAACATAGGGCTTGAAGGGGTAAACCTACTCCGCTTCCTGACAAGTGAAGCCTGACTGAACAGGTTTGGAGAAGCTTGTGTTGCATTACTAAGGAGACCCCCCCCCCCCCCCCCCCTCTCTCTTTCCCCCTCTGCTACAAAACCCAGGAGAGATATATGTATGACTGTTTTTGTTCTTTAATCTGACTGTTCTGTTCTTGCTTTGTCAGTATTTTAAAGATGAAAAAACGTGCTTGAACAACGAGGAAAAAAATAATCCCAACAGAAATGATAGCTAAACCATGTGAGCGATGGGAATAGAGACAGAAAGTATGACAATTATTCTTCACTAGGGTACAATGAAAGAGAAAAACTCAGTAAAATGACAATTTCTAGATTGAAGTCATTTCACACACACACACACACGGGAACAACTGCAGGACCATCTGCCTCAAGGGATGCACAATCATGCCATGTGTGTGTGAGTGTGTTTCTGTTGAGTTTCTGACATGTTCGCATGAGCAGTGGGAGTGTGGCGTGGAGTCACTCACCAGGGGGTTTGCACATGCGGATCTGGCTCTGGCACTGCACCAGCGGATGAAGAGTAGCAGGAGGGCTGATGGGGATGCTGGCGGGCACAGAGGTAGCTTTGGCAGAGAGGCCGGTCATGCCAGCAACCTGGGGGGAAGGAGGCGGTGAGGGGGAGGGTGTGGTGGGCGAACCACACCCGGTCTGGTAGCGGAGCTGGGTGAGGGAGGGGGGCATGCCCTGGTAGTGGCGCGTGGCGCTCAGGAGGTCGTTGAGGATCTGCAGGATGGTACCAATATCTCGTCTGGGACGCCCAGTGCTGTCCTGGCAGTTAGGGTGCAAAGTGCCTGAGAGAGGGAGGAAGATAAAGGAAAAGTGTTACAAGAGATTCGTTTAAAAAGAAATGTAAAACCTAAAAGTTGAAGATTTTAAGGCAAAAAAACCCGGAGGAGAATGACAGAGGAGAATGTGTTTTTGTGAAGCATGCAGGTTTAATAAAAGAGGCTTTCAGCTGGATCTCACTGTGCGCAGGGTTTTTGGATGAAGCAGCAATACATCTAAATGGCAGCTCAGTGTCCTCACCTGAAAAGGTCCCTGAGAAGACTCCGGGAGCGTGGTTGACAAAGCTCTCAATGATGGCGCCCGGTTTACGGGAGCGTGTTGAGGGACTGCTGCCGCTGCCGCTGCCGCTGCCGCTGGGGCTGTTGGGAGTGTTTGCGATGTTGGGGCTGTTTGGGCTGTTTGGGCTGTTGGGGATGTTGGGACTGTTGGTGTTGGGGATGTTGGGGCTGTTGGGGATATTGGGGCTGTTGGGGATGTTGGGGCTGTTGGGGCTGCAGTTAGCCTGGAAGAAAAAATAATAAATAGCATAAAGTGAGGCTCAGAGCATAGAGAAGCAGTGTAAAAAGAACACATTTGTACACAGTCACATCCTGTACTTTACATAAGCAGTTCATCAAATGACATTCATGCCTAACCTGTGAGCTGTTTCTTCTGACTTATAATGTATAGGATATAAGCTCTGTCCTGAGGAGACCTTCATGGGTTCAGTTAGTGACCTTTACATCAGGATGTACACTATTTGCACAATGTTAGTAGCCTATGCTGTGCTGGTTGATATAGGAAACCATGGAAAGCAGGAAACCTGAGCTTTCGACCTATAGCCCTAAAAAAAGCGAGGATATCTTGTTACCTCAAACCTGAGAAAGAGCAAACTAATCAACCCCGTTCCTTCACCTCAAATTCATGTCATCACTCAACTGACATGTGAACGTGAATTTGAAACCCAGCAAGGGTCTCTGTGTGTTTGTGTGAGAGTCTGTGTTTGTGTGCATGTGAAAGCCTAATGAGGAATAGCCATTTCCGTTTTTCTCCCTAATAAACTGGCCTGTGTTTCTGTTTTTCTTGTTGTGAACCATCTCTCCCACAAAGTCCACTGACATCTGGTTCTTATTTGCTTTCCATAGGCTGGAGCTCGGGGGAGGTGGAGAAAGTATAAACAGCTAATTTGGTTGTTGGAGACGGGTAAGTAAGTGTGTTTGTTCGAGCGTCTGGCTAGCTGTTCTTGGAGTTATTCAAAGTTAAACAAAGGGTTTCAAAGGTTAATGATCAATGGCTGACAACACTGAGGTCAATGATGATTAGTCTTCCCAGAAAACAAAAATCGACTATGATCGTTAAATCTGCCTCTGTTTGAATCTCTGTCTCTCAAGCTGTTCCTCTTCCCCCCCTTTTCCCGTACATCTCCTTGTGCAGAATGAGGTCATAGGGATGCTGTGCCCGTCCTAGTGTGTATATGTGTGTGTGTGTGTGTGTGTGTGTGGGCCTGTTTGTGTGCATTTGGGAACTCAGACTGCACTCCAGTGATGACTAAGTGCACTGTGGTTTGGACGCACACACACACACACCACGCGCAAACCTTTTCCAGACCCGAGTAAACCACGGGTTCACCTTCATGAGATCCCACTAATCTAATCAATTAAATGGAGGATGATTTAGTTGTGTGCATGGCCCTCGGGTCAAATAGCCATAACCCACCTCCTCCATTGTTCATTCATGAGAGGGCTAAGTGCCTTTGATGACATCAGCCGTGTCAGAGTTAAGCTTTCCAACCACTTTATTTGTAGAACGGTATATTAATGTGAGATTTTGCATGCTTGGAAGTTGACTGACAATGTTTTTGGAACTTACTTCAGGGCAGAGGATCGGGGCTACAGGGCTGGCCTGGCCCACGTCGGGGCTGGGTTGGCTTGAGGAAGGCTGTTGGTAGTGGTGGTGGTGACTATGGTGATGGGCTGGAGAGCGGAAATGACCTCCAGGGATGTTTGACGGACGAGGGGAGTGGGCTTGAGGAGGGGGAGTAGGGGGGCTACAGTGAGTGGAGGAGACCGACTGGTGGTACATGGGCGGGATGGGCTGGTTGTGTGTGGAGGGCAGCGGGAAGGATGGGGAGACTGGGGAAGAGGGGGGAGGCTGGGCCAAGTGGGGGCTGGGATGTGGATGATGCTGGTGGGAGTGCGGGTGAGGGTGGGGAACACGAGGCTGCCCGGTGGGCTGTCCCATCGCGGCGGTGTCGGCGTTGCCCCGGGTGATGACGTGTCTGTGCTGGAGCTGGGGGCCGCCGGACTGCTGCGCCGCCAACTGGAGCTGCACGAACATCATGTGATCGCCGACACGTAGCGCCAGGGTGAGGGGGGAGCGGCCGGACAGGAAGTCACTGACCTGCAGGTAGACAAAAGAGAATTTGAGTTAAGTTCATCCGCTTTTACAGGAACACCAACACAGCATTGCCAAGTGCCAAAAAATTAAATTTCAAAACATTCATGCTTAATTGGCGCAATGGTATTGCAAATTCAGTCTGCATCCAGATTGTGTACTTAAAGCCAAAGCATATTGACTTCCTCTTTTATAAATGAACAATCCGCGCCATGGTTGGCAGTTGAAATGCACACAACAGTGCTTTGAGCTCCCCCTCTCACAGAGACACCGACACACCACATTAGCCCATAATGAAATCAATCACTATTCTGTAACACTGGCCTATTTACATCTGTGGGGAGCAGTGGATGAGGAGACCTATTGGGAAACACACAAATAGCACCCACTCTCGCTCGCCTCCCACTGCCCCTCAGTCCCTTCTTAGTCAGCAGTGTCATTCAACTCGGAGACAGAGGCCACCCTTCTGTCTGGCCCGGGGCCTGAAAAATCAGTCCCACGTCCAGGAAATACACCCCGCCTGCCTCTCGAACACAGAATGGCCGATTGTCCGCGGCGGATCTGGAAGGGCTGCCCATTTCTGGAGCTCTGGCAACAACTAATAAGAGCCAAGTGTGGAGGCCTTCGCTGTCCCACCCGTGGCCCGGATGGACACACAAACACACACACAGGATTGCAGAGTTGTCACGACTTGGCCGGAGGATTCACACCAAACAACAAAAGTTCTCTTGTCCCCCTGACGCATGCCTGTGGCTCTGTTGCTGTGCATTGCTACTCTCTGCTTAAGCCTGTGCATGTGTAAGAGTGTTTATTCTCTTATGAGAGTCATACGGGGGTCAGAAAGCTTCTTTGGGTCTTGAAGACTCAGCCGTAATGACACCCCAGGTCTCCCCAAATAGAAGCAAACTGAAACAACCAGAGTGGCAAATACAAAGTGACGCCTCTGTCCAAAAAGGTTTCAACAACCCATAGTGCCTTTCAGTCCCCAGAGACTCACGAGGGAGGGGGAAACAGGAAGACCGGAGCAGCAGTGCAAAGCCACACAAGGGGGTGAGAGAGCACAAAGAGGACGGGAGATGGAGAGAAGGAATAATGACAAAGCTGAGAAAACAAGTAATAGAGACACACATACAAAGACGTCAAACAAGAGCAGAGGTCTCACTCCCCCTAGACCCTGCAGCCTTTGGAGTGTGCTTGTGAGAGGCTGGCCTGTAGTTAACCCTGTGAATCACCAGGCTCTGCCCTCCATCACTTCTCTCCCTTTTCTTCTGCTTACTTATTTCTCTATCGACCGCTGCCTCTCTGTTGCCAGGGTGACCTTTGCACGTTGGTATTGACATGGTGTGGAAGAGAAGATCGAGGGAGAAGAGAGGCAGGTGATAGGACGAGGGGGGTTGGGATGATCTGATGGCTGCTTTTCAACATGTAAATAATCAAAAGCTAAAGAGGCCGGGATCAGCATAAAGGATGCTCCAGGATAAACAGGAACCCAGTGTTAAGTCAGCCACTAATGGCGCATTTCCACTACACGGTCGGCCTCGGCCACACTCGGTACGGCTCGGTACGGCTTGGCCGCGTTGGGCCTTAACAGGGCCGACTCACTTCATGCTGCGCTTCCATTACAGTTTAGGAACTGGGGTAGTTACTATAGTAACGCAGTGTAGGCGGAGCCGTGACGTCATCTTCAATGAGAACCCCAGAAAAACAACACAGCCGTTAGCTGTTAGCACTCAGAGCTCACAGCTCCTTATATATGTTCAGAAACTCGACAAAAGTTAAACAAGTACACACCACAGACTGCCTGTGTCATGGTGAATACAGTCGCTGCTTTATTTATGTCTGTATAGGCCGTTGTTGTGAGTGTGGATGGTCGGAGCATATACTGCGTTAGCTTAGCCAATCTCCATCTAGAAAAACACGCATTTTAAAAGGTTTTTCGCCTGCCGTCTGTCTGCAGACTTGACAAAGCATTAATTCATGGTTTTTACTAACCGGTATCAGTATGTTGTTACTTCGGCATCATTTTGAAACGTGTATTACAATTAAATCATGGTCAAATATGTCCATCTTGTTGTAGTTCTAGCCCTCTTGCCAGCGCTCCTCTCTCTAGTTTAGCATACTCAGCCCGACTCAGCCCTGTTTGTTGGCCCCGATAGAACCACAATTTTCTAGGGCCAGAAAAGAGGTGAAAAAGTGGCCCCGCGCCGTGCCGCGCCGGAACTAGGCCTAGTGGAAGCACAACCAAAAAAGGGGACGGCACGACACGGCACGCTTAAAGCGAGCTCCGCGCTGCAGTGGAACTGCGCCATAATGGCCTGTTGATGGTCCAGTCCACACCCAGTATCACCCTGGGTGACGGCTTTCTTGAGAGCCGTCTCAGGTGCTACCTGAGACGGCTCTCAAGAAACTCTGTGCACAAAGACTAAGACAAGATGTATGGTTGTGTCTGTTTGAGGTCTCGGGGGGAGGAGGACCCCCAAAAGTGGGTGTGGGGGAGAGAAAGAAAGAGAAAAGGGAGGGGGTGGTAGGGATGCTGACTGTGTCTGTGACTGACAGCTGTCAAATAATGAGTCGGCAGTTTGCAAATCCGAAACACACACACACAAACGAACATGGTTACAAAGTCAGAGGCCCTGAGGGAGACCTTCAAGCCAGTGTTTAGTTAAAAGGAGGGAGAAATACTGCGGGGGCACCCCTGGGAAGTGAGTGTATATTTGTCTATGGTTCTGTTTCTACAATCTGACTGTGTCAACGTCCAGTTCACACCTGGCATCAGAGTCTGCTTTATGTTACTGCCTCTAATTGGATTTCACCTTCATGCTAACTTTTGATTTTAACAGTGAAGAAACTGTTTGGGCACTTTTACAATTTGTTATTTTGAGGTGGCTTATACACACTGTGTAGGAGTATCTTCTCCTACACAGGGTGGACATATTTGTGTTCACCCTGTGGAGATATGTTGAATCCTGCGGAGAATTCTTCCTTTTTCCTATGAAGCAATCATCTAAGACACCATTTAATGTCAAGTCTGAACAGGGCCTTTGCTTCATCCCTCTGTTCCTGTGTGTGTGTGAGAGAGAGAGAGAAAGTGAGAGAAGAAGGCCGACAGTGAGTGACAGCAGGAGAAACAGAGAGGAGGCTTGATTACTCTTATAATGACTGGTGTGGATTATTCAAAACCACCAAGATAAAATTCATGTACTCCTACTGAGTTCCCAACACCACATGGCAGGCTACAAATTAGCCTGCGAGAGAAGCAGGCTTTCTTATGGCCGTCTGTGCTGGTTTGCGTTTGAGACAGAAGACAGAGAAGGAGGGCCCCACTTTTGTTGCGTTAAGGCAGACAGAGAGAAACCAGCCATTCATTGTTCTCTTTCTGACGCAGCAGAGGGTATGCAAAGAGAAGAGGAGCTCACGCCTGAAGGACAAGGTGTGTTTGGCTGAAAACAGAAATGTGATAGACAGTGCCATGACAAAGTGACATGCAGGTGTTGATAAAGAGCTGTTCCACTTAATTACTTCTCTCACAACTGACCCCAGAGCAGGCGCCATCAACCATTTTGTTTTAGTTGTCCAGGAGGTTGTTTAGCAGAAGGCTTTGCTTGCTATGCAGTGATGGGGGAGAATATGATAAGGGGGGGGGGGGGGGGGGGGGGGGGAGATAGAGGAGGAAAAAAAAGGGGGTGCATGAGTGAGGAAGGGAGAAAGGATGGTGAGGGGGGGATGGGGGCGATGGGGGTAGGGTGTCAGAGTGGTGGTGGGTGATGAAATATTCAGTGAGAGTGTGCCTCTGGCTCCTTCCCTCTTTTTTTCTTTCGACATCTCTGGCTGACAGTTTTATTTATTGGGGTCCCTGTGGTTCAAGGAACTCATTTGCAGTCGTTCTTCCTTTGCACACTAAGCGAACTAAGGGAGGGAGATAAGGAGTGAGGGAGGAAGAAAGAGGCAGAGAGGCTGAGGGAGGGGGAGAGAGAGAGGGAAAGATAGAGAGCGCTGGCAGCACTGAGCTGACATTCATGAACAACTGAGCAGCTTTGTGCCAGAGAAAAGAGGATAGAGGATGGGGGGGCGGGACAGGAGGGTGGAGAGAGAGAGAGAGAGAGGGACGCCAATCTGGTTCCAACACAGCAGCTCACCTGTCCAACCGCCAGGTGAAGAGCAGCTTCAAAAGCCTGCTTATTAACCCGCCTATCGACCTATATGTTTTGAACGCACCAGGACACTATTGATAAGTCTCTGTGCGGACACAAACCGGCTAAAGATGCAATAACAGCTTCTCAAAAAAGGGAGAAGGGAAAAAAAATCAATCACTTGCATCATGCCCCAAATCCTAAACGCAGCCGGGGGGGGAGATAGGGGTCTGTAATACTGCTTGAAATCAAACAGAGGGGGCAAGAGAGGACCAGCTGGTCATCGCTGAATTTGATCGTCTGATTGAAGAGAAAGATGAGAATGGCAAAGTCCACGATGATCAGGTTTCATGCTCAAGCCACTCCTCACTCCTGCTGCTGCTGCTGTGCCAACAAGTGACCAGCTACACTGAGACTCACATGCTCATTCAAGCTTCTCAGCCCTGATGCGTTAGCTCCAATTTAAAGCAAGCAAACAGCAAAGAAAACCTCGTGTTCACTTGTGTGCCTGCTCTCACTCCACTGAATGCCTTTAATAACTTCCAAGGAATACAATGTAATCAGAAGGAGAGCATCATGACCAACATGTTCTGTACCCAGCTAGACAAATGCGTGGATACTTGTAAACACCAACAAAAAAAGTGGAAGAATCATTTTTGAGTAAGTGGGTACAGGCAAATGGAGGAGATGCAGAAGAGGAATAATGGAGGAAAGAATGGCCACTATGTCGTTCCTCAGTATGTTTTTGTATGACTTATTGGATCGACCTGGGTATTCTGACCCCTGCCTCTCAGTTACACCAGCAGCATATGTCTAATTGACTTCATTAGCCTTGGTGGTGGCTCTCAGATGTGACATTCCTGGCCTCCGTCCTCCCACACAGTCGCCCCAGTAGTCACGATGCCGGCAACTTGAATCTCAAAAGCTCAGCATCGCCAGGGAATGGAAAGAAATGACTGTCACGACTCAAATATGGAGAAATAATACTCCCCTGGCCGCTGAACGAGCAAACACAGACATTACAAATAGACGTTGCCACACACACACACACACACACACACACACACACACACACACACACACACACACATCTACACAATAGGACAATTAAATCCTCTGCAAAATCCGTCTATCCCTTGATTGCCCGACAACACACCTTGATTCAGCCCAGCAGCCCCCTCCCACAGTGCGTTTAAGCATCACAAAGGGGATTACACAGGTGCAAAAACACTTCGTGATCTGCTTATTAATGCAATTTCCAAGGCCAGGATTTGCATGAAGAGGGAAGTGAATAGACCTTTAGATCAGCATTGTCTTGTATTCCATACACGGGTTGATTTACACATCCAGCAACAAATTAATTTCTGTAGCTTTCATTTAGGTAACAAAAAAACAAATTACCATTCCAAAGAGCAAAGACTCCCTCTCTCTTATACGGCATGCATATAAAAAGCCTTAATTTCAACAGCGCTGGGAAGGAGGAGGGAACTGCATGCTTAAAAAGGGGGACGCTCCGCTCATATTGACCGACATACTGACTCAAGTCATTTTTAAAATTCCTTGCACTCCTAAATCCTCAATACAATTACTCTCCAATGATTTCCAGTAGTGTCAATCCTGCTGATTAACTAGCATCTAGATAAAGGTGGTCTACAGGGTGCAGCGCTGGAAAAAGAAACATATTGACCATCTGCATTGAGCCGTTTCACACAGTCACGTGCGTGCACACAGACATGCACAGGTACGCAGTTGATTGTACATACACACACACACAGTCTCCATAATCTGCCGTTTCTAGTGGTAAGCCAAATGTTGATTTCCTTTCTTCCATTAGATTCTCGTCTTTCAACTGTGGGTTATCCAAGCGTATGAGCTCATCCTCCCCATTACCTCCAACCTACAGAACTTGCACACATGCATCGACTCGACATGTTACAGAATAACTTGTGCAAAGCTCTCCCTTTCTTTTCCCTCCTGAGGGAGACTGAGTGTGAGGAAATGAGGTGAGGGTGACCCAGGGGTGACTCCTCACAGATTGTAAATTCCTACTTTTTTTTTTTCCCCCCCCCATCTGCCCGCTTCCAGGCACAATGACAAAACTGTGCCATATTGTTGCTTGTCGTACCTAGATGAAGAATAGGAGGAGGGGAGTGGAGCTGCTGGTCGGCGGGAGGAAGAAAAGTAGAGCAGATACGTGACGGCGTATTCCGCGGGGACATATGGGATGGCAACACACAGCCTCCTCCCAAAGCAATCTGTGTTAGTGTTCAAGGCAGAATTTGTCAATCTGCAGCCCGCTGAGCCTCGCTCCGGCTTGAGATTGATTTTGAAAACCTGTATGCACCACTGTAGCTGCACTCAATTGGGTATAGCTGACGCCCATGGATGTATGAAGGATAAAAGGGGTTTGTGGGGGAGAAACAAACCTAAAAGGGTGACCCTCAATCATTGTTGTGTGTTTGAGGGTTTGTCAGCTGGGCAGGTTTGGTGCTCATGCTTTAAGACAGGAACAAAGAGGTGGCTGCATGGGGGAAGGGTAACGGGGGGATGGTAAGGGTGATGCCTGCCTGCCTGGTTGGCTTTTATACTAACATCAATGTGCATCAATGAGCAAATAGTCCCTGTGTGCTAAGAGGGACACATAATCCTTTTTCTTTCTGTCAAATACAGAGATCAATAGATGGAGAGCTGATGTCACTGTCTATGGCCAGAAAATCATGAATATTGCTTTCATTTCCTTTTCACTGCTTGTCTTCTGCATATACATTCATTTTACTACCGGGATCAGACATTTTCTCATTCTCTGAACTCAATCCTCTTAAATATATCCTTTCAATTCTGGTGTGTGTGTCCGTCCGTGCATCACTGTATGTGTAAGCTGAACACACAGCCTCTATTTAGCAGACAGAATGAGAGGAGAGTAGTGCAGGCAACTGTATTTTGATGGGTTGTCAGAAGGCAGTGGCTTAATACAGCTTAGATGTCGTGCAAAAAGTGTAGTGAGATGACAGAGGAGGAATTAAGGCAGGCTGGGATTGTCCTTGCTGAAGAAGTCAGCCATCACGGTCAAATAGAAGCAGCTAGCCGGACTTGCAGACCACAGCACATTTAAATTATAGGGCCCTAGGAGAGCTGTTAAGCAGAAACAAGAGAGCGAGAAGGAGGAAAAGGGGGGGGGGACGTAGCGAAGGAAAGAAAATCCCATTTCGATAATTGCCGGGGCTCCATTTCCATAAAACATTTTCTATCTTACTCGCTCCACAAAAGTCTGAAACAGCCCTGCAAGCTGTCATGTTCTGCTTGGTTGGCTAGCTAGCTGCTAGCTGTGAACTCACCCAGAATCCTGATAAAGGATCAGGCAGAAGGCGATCCGCTCAGCCCTGTCTTCCTTGAATACACACACACACACACACACACACACACACACACACACACACACACACACACACACACACACACCACACACACACACACACACACACACACACACACACACACACACACACACACACACCACACACAACACACACACACACACACACACACACACCACACACACACACACACACACACACACACACACACACACACACACACACACACACACACCACACACACACACACACACACACACACACACACACACACACACACACACACACACACACTACACACACACACACACACACACACACACATCACACACACACACACACACACACACACACACACACACACACACATCACACACACACACACACACACACACACACACACACACACACACACACACACACACACACACACACAACACACCACACACACACACACACACACACACACACACACACACACACACACACACACACACACACACACACACACACACACACACACTTCCTGGCAAAAACACCCGATCTGGAAGTGAGACCTCACACATGAAGAAAATGAAGGTGGGTGGAGGGGGTGAGGGGTTCATACCCGCTTCTTCCAAGTACTGCCTCAACCGCCCAACATCTCCCCCAGGCTATTTTTGGGTGTATGGGCATATCAGTTATCATGTCAGACACTTTTAAGAGCTAAGTGCATTGATTGATTTTTGATAGCCCCAGAGTTAGGGGGGGGAGAGGAAATGAAGGAAAGCTTTTGTATTCCTATTTTCTAATCTTACTCAGATCCTTAATCTCTCTGCAATCTATATCAGTCCATTCCGCTTCATGAATAATAAAAAGGAATCAATTTCTCTGGATAAAAAACACACTAAAGCAGCTTTGTGCTTTTTTTGGGTAACCTTTACCCTGCTTTCCGCCTTGCCCTGCCCTTCATTCTCTCCATCCCCACTGCAGCATTGCAATTAATATCCCATAAATTTGATTGCAACAGTAATGCACTGTCAGAAATTCATAGGAAATAGCAAGAATGTGACTCATGATGAATCACACCGTAATAGGAAGAACACAGGAAGAAAGGCAAAGTGAGAAATATCCTCTGCCTCTGGTGAAAATGACGTTCACTTGTGGCTGCCCAGCAAAGGCGTACTAAATGGTGGCCAAGGCTTGATTCCAGCCCACTACCACTCCGACACACACACACACACACATCCAGTAACAGCCCCACGTTCACTTAGACACACCTACACACATGCAATCATCTGCTGTCAGTGCTACGAGGCGCATGCTGAGTTCACACACACGCAACAAGGCCAGGATTTCCTCCAGAAAATGATCAGCAGGGAATGAAGCCATACCAAACCACACTATCTCCTATCAGCCCACTTCCTTAATATATAGTACAATTCCTTAGACAAATGCATCATTCATTTCACAATCTTGTGCTGTTTTGACATCAGTTGTCAGCGCATCACTGGTGCACTTACGTACATCTCAGTGTTGCCCAACGCTACAAAAGGAAGTGGTGTGAGTCAGTCAGTCAGCTGCAGAGTGTTTCATACGTCACACTGTTGCCTATGTGCATTCAGCCTTATCGCCTCACTCACGCTCTCTCTGCGGCCAGCACTGAGTACTCTCTGCCTTTTCTCTTTACTCTCACTATTGATCATTTCTGTGAGTCATGCCGAACTGACTCAAATGCATACTGTATTTCAGCAGAGCCGTTTCACTGTAAGTAGAGAGAGCAGGCCCCACTCAGGCTATATGTGAAAACTGGGCTTCCAGGAACCCTGTGCTAATAGTGAGAGAAGGCTGCCATCTGATGATCCAGCACTATGCTTATGAGTGAGTGTGACTACACTCAATCTCAATGCAGCCACAGCAAACTTCCTGGAAACTTGCCTCTGCATGTGTGTTAGAATGTGTGTTAGAGCATGAAATACAGGAGGAGTGGAGAGAGGTTACAGATAAAGGTATACACAGAGAGGTGCAAGTGAGTGTTGTGTGCTGGTCCTCTCAGCAGCTTACAAATAAGCCTTTCTTGTGTGGTGTCCGCCCCGGCTTCCTGCAGCGGCGTGCACACACATACACGCTATCACAGATGTTACTAGGATACAAGGGGTGTTGCTGCTTATTATATCCTAACAGCTCACACTGGATGTCTAGCTTGGCTTGGCTTGTTTAAGAGGCTGAGATTAGACAAGCAAAGAGGCTTGTGCTTGTGCAGCCTGCTCATCTCGTCTCTTCCTCTCAGTCCCTGTGTTGTTCTGGACTTAACCAAAGCTACAAACTCCCATATCCCATGCAAACACACAAGGCTTAAAAGCTCTCTCTAGATTGCAACCATGGTAGGATACTAAACATTATTGCAGTATCAACACATGGAAACATTCTCTTACCTGAGTTTCAGTTAGACTCTCCAGGGCTTGCATTACGGACTGTTCGGGTCTTGATGCTTGAGACTGCAGAGAGAGGAAAATAATTTACAATTAATTAAACAATCAATCAATTATAATGAACCAAATATGAGAAGACATCAATTATGTAAAGTAATAAATATGCAAAACTGCAAACTAAATAAAATCACAGCCAGGTGAGCCTTACCATTAATCCTGCTTCGACGGTTGGTACAAGTGTTAACTTGCTCCCATCAGAGATACCTAGATCCTGGAGTTTGCCTGAACTTAGTCGCCTGCAGGGTTAGAGAGAGCATGATAATTAGACAGGCTGACAATATCTTCTCTCTTCAGACACACAAATAGCCTTCAGACAGGGGGGCAGACAGAATCCAAAACTAGTTTGGAAAAGAGCCGTGGGTGAAAGCTCCATGAAAGAGAAGTATTGATTGGGCTGTCATATTTCAATTTCGAGTATAGTGGAGCTTGACAACCTCTCGCAGTGCATATCTGGCCCCACTGCCACTTGCGTAAGTGGAGGTAAGTATTTTTCTTTTGCCATTTTGAGTTGTACAAATGAGGAGCAGAAACTATGAAACCAGAATCCTTTAAGAGTTATGAGAAAAGATAAACGGCACGACATGCAGCTATTATTGACATTGCAAGTCTACTCAATTCTTTATTGAGCTGTATTATGATGGCTTTCTCTGTGATTTTGAAGAAAGCTGATACGCAATACATTCCCAGGGCTTCACTATTTAATGTTGGTGCAGAGCAGGAATGTGTGCTCCACAATGGAGGAAATAGTATTTTCTTGCAGGTCACGAAGCACCAACACCACACACACGTCTGACTGACTGCCTCGATTAGTTTAGTGAAGGTTTTTTAGGACAGCCTGCTGTACATGCATGACCCAAATCTCACCCCATGCAACTGAACAAAGACCCTCAGCAAAGATGTGCTGTAAGTCTACAGTTTGGGAAACAGGGGGGGATTGAAAAGGGGGTTTCGGGTTTTAAAGGATGATGTGATTTATTGGGTGATTACAATGGGTGGGAGGGGAAGGGGTCTGAAAAACAATGCCGACTGTTTGCATGTACTAAAACCCACCTCTCTTTTTTTGCATAACACCACCTGCACTGTTGTCATCTCATTTAACCTGAGCATGGTTAATTTGGGAACCGCCTAATACTGTAGGTTTTGGTAATTTCTGAATGATAAAGGGTTTGCCTCAGCATGCAGTGCCTTCCTGTGCCATTATCAGCAGCCCATACCTCTCAGAAAGAAAGAAAGAGTTTCTGCTTCCAAAGCTACCAGCTATTACCATGTAACACTTACATTTACACCCAAGAACAGGATACACCCACCTCCCATTGTACAGTAACAAGTCAACTGTAAACAATACATTGTACTGCATATGCCTGTGCTGCAGCAGAGTAAATAAATTACAGACTAGCAAGTCCGTGTGACTTCACTCATTAATGTTTAACATGTTTGATTCCCTCAGCATTAGTAATTCAGTCAGGCTTCAGTATTTATAATGAAGGAGGCATGAATCAATGCAAGTCTGCAGATCGCCTCGTCGATACTGTTCCAGTGACCGGTGCGTCCCGTATGCGTAATTCCAATACTGTGCGTCCCGATGGTCAGTGGTTTTCCTTGAATGTATTGATGACCAAAAGCAGCCAAGGTTGTCTCTGAGGCCCCCAGGAGCTCGGCCACGCATAAATCCGAAGTATAGATTAAAGCATATCACTGCAGGCCCGGGGGGTGCACGCACCTAAAGTCGGTTTACTCGCATTATAAACTGCGGATAACAATGTGGCTCATGATGTCAGCGTTTACTACCGCTACACACTCGGGACACAAGTGTAAATGTTAAGACGATTAAGAACCATGCATAAAAAGGGTACCATTTTTAGAGTAAATACATTATATTATATTATATTATATGTCCGGTGTACTCACGTTTCTTTGTGCAGCAGAGCGAGTCTCTCTCTTGGTACTTTGAGTCTTTGCGACAGCCTCCTCTTCAGTCCATCCACGGTCTCCTCCTGGGGCAGGGACAGTTCGAAGCGTGTGCCGGTGGTGGAGTGGATGTACAGATTCATGGAGGGCTCAGTCGGGACGGCCTCGCAGGACGAAGCCCCGCGGCTGGTGCAGCTCCGGGCGCTGGGGTGCTGGTCCATCCGATAACCTGTAGTCAGGGAGGGGGAGACAAGACGAGCAGAGCCGGGTATGAAGCGGGTGAGGAGGAGAAGGGTGACGCAGATCCTCCGCTCCGACTACCGTCCCTTGTTCTGCTCGCAAATCAAAGGCAGCATTCAGGGAGCTTTCTCTCTTTCTTTCACTCGCTCTCCAAGAGTCACAATAAAACCCGGTCCGTATTCTCTCTCGTCGGTATCATGAGAATATTCCCACAGGAAAGTCTACTATGCTTTTCTCTTTGTTTGATCGTTTTCTTTGTTGCAAGCAAAAGTCTTCCTATATGCTACAGATATGTGTAAATGCCAGGCAGAAACGCAAGTATGTTGTCAGCAAAAACACGCCACGGTTACCTTTACAACTAAAACTAGGAGGACTAGTAAAAAAAGAATATAAATCCCTCGCAGTGTTTTGTCTGCTTTTACAAGCTTTGTATGAGAAAACAAACGGTCCGTGTTCTGCAAAGCCTCATATGGTTAGTTGTGAGAGGCTCTTCGCTGCGCACTCCTACCCACCGCAGCTCCAGTGAAATATCGACAATGAACAGTCACAAAGTATCCCACTTCCACCATCGATACAAATACGCAGACAGACCAGCCAATCACAGCAGAGCTAGTTCAGGACGCTGCGAATTTCAGCCAATAGAGAGACGAGATTCACACCCACGTGGAGGGCAGGCGAGTTTATGCCATTCATAATAAATTACAGGATAGAACAAAATATGAGACCATACCACGGTAGCATATCGCAACACTATTGAAGTGATACGTACATGCAAATTAAACATTGGACAGAGTTTTCCCTACAGAAAGTAGAGTGCCATATTATTAGGCTACATATGCCAGTAACTGTTTCAAAAAGTACATGTAAAGGCTAATGTCCAAATATGAAACATGACATGATTATTCTGCATGTTTCAACATACCATACACACTTGCCACAAGCTCATGTCTTCCATTTTGATATGGCCAGATTACAAAACTGAGCAAAGAAAACCAACACTTGCACACAAAGAGGGACAAATAGGACCATGCAGGTATTTAGTTCACCTCCACGCATTCATCCAAAACAAGTAGGGGCTTTAACATAACATAGAAAATACTCGGTCGCCACCCAGTGGTCAAGGAATGAACTTTACCAATCAAAACTTAAGTGATTCATACTTTAGACTTTTTGCAATGGTAGAGTTTTGCAAGATCTGCTATAAATATGAATTTACTTTGGGTTGCTCTTGGCTCAATCATAAAGAGTAATTATGAAACTCTTAGCATGGCTGTCAATATAATTTATCAGGTTTCTAATTTGCTTCGAAAAAGACAACAGCAGCAACGACTTGCTGTCAGGTACTAATTATAATGTACAGTAACGGTGACATTCTTGTGTCGTCGATACTGGCCTTATTAAGTTAATCATGTCCACAGCATTTACATGGAAGGTGGCTCATCCAATCACTTGACAACATGCTTTTATCGATCCGCGATTGACTGGTTCTCTCAAATCAATTTCTCAACCCACCAACACAATGGGCTACAGCCTGCGTCAAACTTGTCGACATTACAGATTACATGCATACAATGACAGACTTCACATTGAAGTGTACTCACCAACTATCTTGGCGAGAACTTTAAAGCTTCGCGTTAAAGTGTGTTGTGTTCCAGTATGTTCCCCCAGCTTTGGAATGTAAAATAAACCCAAACAGAGGTAAAACTCCAAACTCCTGTCCTGAATATCCACAAGGTTTTCCTCAGTAATTCTCCGGTAGGCTCTTCAGTGTGCCTCGTTGTACGCGGCGGACCGGGAGACTTCGGACCAATAGAGGTTGCAGTAATGTCCTGAGATGCCTCGGAGTGTAGTTAGTACACCGGCGTCTTCCTTGGTAATGAGCACAGTCGGGAAGGTGAGACACTTCTTAGCACACACTTGTCGGATAGGGGTGGAGAGAAGTGTTCTCTGTATGTCAGCATGTGTTTTAAGGTGGCCTCGCTTCGCAGTAACCGCCTCTATTTCCCAACGTGTTCCCGTCGTTGGGAAAGAATGTGCCTACGCAAAGCTCCAACAGATAAAGATGTCCATCTGTGTCAGTGGTTCTCTGAACGCCAGGAAAGACTTTTAACCATGCAATATACCTAAATAGAGAATACTCTCTGTCACGCCGTTCTCTACCACCTTAAAAATAATTACTGAAAAGACTGCTTTGGCGATATGAGGGGTGTAACCACCAGTCTCTGACGACATAGAGAAATGTCACCGGGCAACAGAGCAGGTAAACAGGCTCCATGGATACGAGGGCACGTACACCGATAAACAAAAACGTGTCTGGCACGGTTTGTTTTTGTGTTTGGGGAACAACACTCCTTTGGAGTTAGGGAATTTTACGGGAATTTGATAAAACACAAGTATATTTACTATTGTTTTGTGAAAAAAGCCAGACCTGCAACTAACACTTTTAAACATAACTTCCTTTTATTTTTTTGAATAAATAAGTATTTAGACTCAAAGTAAAAACAAATGTCCATCATATAAAATAGACATTGTTACAAATGCTATTAAGTAAACGTTAAAAAAAAGTCTTAATGGACTGCCCCATTCAGGTTTATAATATGATTGTTGTATAATCACTGATACTCACAGGGTGTAAGCAGCAATTACATGTTGCTGCACAGCTAGGTGTAGCTCATAACGACACCTTCATTGAAACATTTTGTATGGGTTAATCTTAACTTAAATAACAACTAACAATAGCTGTCAAATAAATCTAGTGGTTTTAAGGTTAAGCTGTTTTCCAGCTGAAATCCAGATAGAAAATATCAATGCAAGCTAAATTCAAATGGAGTAGCACCCTTAATATACTTATTTACAGTATGTGCTTTCCATAAACTGTAAATTAGGGAATCTATTGTATTAGACATGTGTAGATATTTGGCCCTGTTACACAGTTAGGCGGTAATCATCACAATAAGGTTGACTTTGGGGACAAGAGGGATGTTGTGCAAGAAAAACAAACAAATTAGCCTCATAACATCCTAACATTTTCCAACTAAGAACTGTCCCTCCTTCCAGCAGGACAGTCTGTCTGATTACAAAGGCTCACTCATCCCCACTGTGCCCTGTGCCCCACCAGCTTAATATCACACTGCACAACAACTGAATCATTCTCATGTGTCTGTGTGAATGCGTGTGAGATATAGAGAAAGCAGAGTGTGTTCAAAAGAAACATCTTCCAGAGACTGCAGGACAAAGGTCTCTGTCTGTGCCCGGCCCGTTCAGCCTTATCTGGCTCCATCTCTTTCTTTCTCTCTGGGAGATGCTGACTCAGTGGAACAAAGTGAAAGGAGCTGGTTAAACTCCCTCCTGCATTTGAAACACAACCCTTTGTTTGACTCAAACGCTGTGCCTTTGAATTAGCTCGCTCTGTAGCTTGTTTTGACACTTCCCATCATGGGATCTGTGTGTGTTGGAGAATTTAGTGCAGAGCGGGAGCTAATGTGCATTGATGTTTGTCACTCTGGCTGCTTCAGAGTCAAGTTCTTGTTTCAGCAATGAGACGGCTTGGCTGCGCTCGTCAGCAGGTTTGGCTGTCGACACAGCTCAGGTCATGCAGAACACTCTGACCTTGTTTGCCTGAATTAGACCTTGTAGTTGAGCTGACAATCTGATATGTTTCATGACAAAGGTGCAATCCTCATTACAGGTAATATTGATCATGGCATTGTTTTGCAAACTGCTGGGTTTCTTATTCTTAGTAAACAGCCCTCCTTTTAGTATGTAATTTGTTTTAATCCACAGCAGTATGTCCCCTCATTCTATCCTTGCTAATGTGACTAATCACACTGTGATTAAGAAAAAGAATGGCGTTAATGCTCAAATTTATCATCAGGCTGGCTAAAAGCTAAATGTTTTCCCCTGTGTGCTGCGTGGTGCAGTAAGATGCACATGGTTAAGCCTGTGATGGAGGACGCAAGAGCAACCCCCATATGAAGCTACATGATAATGCATCACACATACTTCTGGGAAGTTTATTGACAAGGGAGGAAGGCCTTGTGGGCGGGTCGTAAACATTTCACATTGGATATCAGATCTGGTGGGACAGAGCAGCCTGCGTGTGATTGCTTGTGTACCCAGTTTGTCTGTGTGTGTGTGTGTGTGTGTGTCCATGCGCGAGCAACAACGGGCAAGTTGTTGTGTGAGAGCCTGAGTGTGTGGGACATGTGTGGGCGTGCGTGTGTGTGTGGGTGAGCAGCATTCCTATCCATCAAAGTCACCAGTGGGCCGCCCTCTGCCTCGGGAGAAAAATGAACCATGCCCGGCGTACTCAGCCTGCCGCTGTTGTTCTCCTGCCACCATTTCCTCCCTGATTCACTCTGAGTGGCTGTGAGTGGGGCAGACACACCTCGACGGTCATCACCAAGCCGCATTCACAACATAACCACAGGAAGCTGACACATACAGATGCCTGAATACCTTGCATGCAGGTACAAACGTTGTGAATTCATACTTGTGAAAGTGTCATCATACTAGGAGTGTCTCTTTTATTATATATACTGGTACACATATTCACATATACATAACTAAAAGGCAGAACACCCATGTCTGATACATAATTTTCATGGACTAACCCGCATGATTTCCCGGCCTTTACTCTTGGTTTTCACTAAATAAGGCCCAGATATTTATGTGTCTCTAATTTGATTCATATAATATATTTAAGATGGTATTGACTACAGCCTAAGTGCCTGTTAAGGGGATAACGTTTCTGAATGATGCAGACTTTCAGCCATTTAAATGATCTGTACGGGCAGACTAGTGGATGAGATTGAACTGTGATGTCAGTTTCAACTAAAAACATTAAACTAGATTCAGAAATATTGGGAAGTTGTTACTGGTTAGTGGGCGATGAGGGGACACAAGGTTACTAGGATGGAGACGTGCAAGATTTGTGAGTGAATGAAAACACTATTCAACAAAATTAGTGAATTTAAACTGAATATTTTGAGGCTCTTTATAAGAAATATTTTTGTAGCAAAACCTCTGTCTTCAGACATAAAAATAGACATTATCACATAAAAATTAACATATAAATAAATACAGACACAATTTATAACAATGACATTTTGTTCAAGTTGTGATCTATGATCCAGTACAGTTCAATAACTCTGCTCATTATTTCACAATAACAGTGTTTTCCTGATGTTTTTTCTATTTGATTTCAATAATTAGTATCCAAATGATGTTTTTTTATTTCATAACTCCACTATTCATCCCAAAATCAGCAGACAGTTACGTGATCAGTTATTGCTTTGGTCTCTGTGACACAGAACCTTTTACACTACAAATCACATATCTGATGCAATCACACATGTACTGGCACAAGTGATGACACATCATACATGTACTGACACGTGGTGGTAAAATGTGTAGCATGGAGTTCTGTCAATTAAACCAACATACACACAGTTTTGCGTCAGATACAGAATTTAATTTAATGTTTTCGTGCAAGAAAATACGTCATAGACAGACAACATATGCTCATGTGTAAGCCAGTATGTAAGTATATGCAACGTGACAAATGAATAGAGAACATTATTACATAATCAGTCAAAAAAGATAAATACAAGCCAGAAATTATGTAACATTATCCAGGGTTACCTATAATATGCTTTAGAAAATAGTAGGAAAGGATATGTCAATAATAGTTTTTACATACTTTTCTATAAATAAGGGCATTCTGGTGCTAGCCTACTTCCATAGACTGAGGAACCCTGGTCATAGTGGCAACTGTGGAGTGGGATCAGTGTTACATTTTTGTATGGAGTTGGACCCAAGATACAGTGTAGGGTTTAAAAAAAGAGTCATCAGAGAGCAGAGGGGTGAGGAGCTGAGAGTGGGAGTGGGAAGAGCTTCTGTGTGGACAGAGCCTCTGATCCCACACCTGCAGAAGGAGCTCTGTTTGAAGTGCTGCTCGCTCTCCCTCCCGGCTCACAGCACAGATGATTGATGACACATCAACGACACCTCTACGGCTTTACACACTAAAGCAGACAATGTGCCAGGGAGAGTGTAAGGAGTCCCGGCCAGAGAGAGAAAGAGAGAGAAAATGTGCAAAACGTGCAATGACAGGGGACAAGAAAAGAAAGTGTCACATCAGACTATAATATGAGTCACAGTCACAGCTTACAGTAACTTTTGGAAATCCAAGCCAGGGACATTTCAACCAGACCCCCATATCCAGTAGTCACGACATTTCCCTGACTTTTGTCCTAAGAAACTTTTTTTGAAAACTTTTCAGGAAGCTCATACTCCATCTAACAAATTCCACATGTCAATGACTGATAAATAAATCACAACAATAGCCTGGGTACGTACTGTGAAGTTTATGTTTCTCAGTTGCTGCTGAGTGAGCGATGACTAAGCACAACAACCTCTGTAGATTGAACACTGCCCAGAGGCACACTGGATACTGTCCAAACATTTCACAATCAAGTTCATCTGTGTTCATTCTTTACAGAAGACACATTCGTCGTATGGCTGAGTTTATGTGTGAATGTGTGTTGAGTACAATTTTACTGTTTGTGGGTTGTTTGTATATTACATTTTGAACATGTTAGTCACTCTATCCTTAGCTGACACATTCCCGAGTAGATGAGGCATGCTTTGTGTTGAATCAAGTTTGTATCAGAGTGCATCTTTCACACATCTTGGCATCTGATTGTTTTGATACTAGTACTGTGTAACCAACAACTTCCTCACCACTGATAGAAACCGATTAAATGATGTAGTACTCATCACTCTTTCTACTTTAACACAGTTGCACATACTAGTTTATACACTTGCTTGTTAAAATGTTTTGGAATATTTTGAACAACTCTTGCAAAGAGGTAGACCAGAAGATCAATACCACTTTCAAGTCCATTCAACATGAAGCTATAGCTAAAA